AACTTTCTGATTAGTTTTTAGAGACAAAGTTTGGTTTTCTATAGTTTTCCGATCAAGACCGTTCCTGTCATTGTTGCTGCTTCCAAATCTTTGTAATACTATTTATTCTTCAGACTTAGATACACAATTCCATGATAAATATGTCAAGTTTTCCAACTATGTCAAATGAGAAGAATATATCAGCGCTAGGATGTTTACAAGCATTTCGTAGGAATAGTATATCGAATTTTTCTAACCTTTCCCAATAGGAAATAGTAATGGAAAGTTCCCATTACTAATTGTATTGTAGAAAGAGCATTTTCAAAAATGGTAAGAGTTGTTTAATCAAAAATGGTTCTTGTTAAATGCTCTTTGTTAAATGACAGTTGAAAGAACTCTCTTACCAAATATAAATTTTTAAAATGTTGTTATTGACTTTGCCAATGTAAAAATAAGAAAAATTTCTCTGTAAATAAAAAAGTAATCATGTTTTGCTTCATTCATTTTTGAATACATTTTTTCAGGAATGAGGCATCCAAATAATTTTTGCATCCGGACCCAAGACCTTTAATCCGGCCATTAATAGAAGAAATATTTGTTTTTTAAAAATCTAAAAAAATTAAAAAAAAAACTGTACAAAGAGCAATGAAAAAACGTCTATTCGTTTACAGACCCCTACTGTGTCAAATAAAAAATTTTTTGTGTATTTTTTTAAAATATTTATGACAATGCCTGCCCAAAATTAATTACTGAATAAAAAAAACCCGATTAAGAGTCCAAAGACGACAAATAATTTAATGAACTCATCAAAAAATAAGCAAAAACTTCAAATAAAATTTCTTAAATCTAAAAAAGAAAATGACGAAAAAAAGAACAAAGCTATGAACAGTTTTTGTAACTGTAGCTATCTATGTTATGGATAGTGTAAACAAACCTCTATTTTATTTAATAACATTTTCATTTGAAAATAGTATATTTTCAAATGAAAAATAAACCTTTATACTGTATATAAAATATACTATCTTCAAATGAAGCTCTATATATAGAATAAAGGTTTATTCTTCAATTGAAAATAGTATATTTTCAAATGAAGAATAAACCTTTATTCTATATATAAAGCTTCATTTGAAAATAGAATATTTTCAAATGAAGAATAAACCTTTATTCTATATATAAAGCTTCATTTGAAAATATTTTCTGCTTAATTAAAGTTATCCAAAATTCAGCCAGTTTTCAAAAAAGGTGTTTGTTAAACTGCTTACAACTACCGTCCTATATCATTACTCCCTGTATTTTCAAAAATATTAAAAAAGATAACTTATAATAAAATTTATGATTACATAACATTAAATACGCTTTTATGAAAAAGTTAATTTGGATTTCAAAAACACTGTTTGAACTGAACATGCTGTTATTGAACTTGCTAACAAAATATCTATGTTCTTTGATAAAGCTGGACAAGTATTAGGAGTATTAATCGTTCTCTTAAAAGCATTCAGTGCTGTTGATCACGAAATTTTACTTTCAAAGTTAAAGCGTTATAGTATTAAAGGCCTTTTATATTAGAGGGTTAAAAATCATATTTTCAACAGAAGACAATTTGCTCTGCTGGATGAGTCAAGAGAGCCTAATATTGTGTATGGGGTCCCACAGAATTTACTCCTGGGACCATTACTATTTTACTTGAAAAAATTTTTGTAAGATAATATTAGGGACCCATTAAATATTGAAGAGATTTTGTTATAGTCGGTTGTTTGAGAAGTATAGTCGGCTAGTCGGGTATTCGACACATTTGATTAAGATAATTTTTATGTTTGAGGATTTTTTTTTTTCGATTCTAAAAAAAAATATTTTGAACAATATTTTTACATCGGGGCTCCGATATAAAAATATTGTTCAAAATATTTTTTTTGAACCGATGTTTCAATCAATGGCTTCAAGCAAATCAATTTTTTAGGAGTTTTATTTTATGAGAACCGTTGAGAAACAATATTAGTTTAATTGAAATAAAAATCTGTGAATTATATAAAACTGTTATATCTGTTATATACATCAAGAGCCTTTTTTGATTATGAATCTCATAAGATGCTTTACTTCAGCGTTGTTCATTTTCATCTGACCTACACTAATATAAATGGGCCAACATACAAAAAACTAATTTTAAAAAATTACAAAGCAAAATCACTCAAACTAATTACCTAAAGGGATTAGAAAATCCTTTCCATGTATTGAAATTCACGAATGTCTTACATATATTTAAACTTTACTCATTTCAAATACTAATATTTATGTGTAAATATAAAAATAACTTGTTGCCAAAAGTATATTCGGACATTTTTACCGTGGCTTTTTCACAAAAATACAATTTCAAATAAATACCAACTGCAGCTATTACTTGAGTAAAAACAGTGTAAAATTTTTCATTTTTGAGCGAAGGAATTATAAAATTAATTGAAAAATATCAGTATGAAAGATTTGAAAAGCATTTTCGCTTTCAAAAGACAAATGAAATTGCATCTTCTTACTGACATATTATAACTGCTATAACTTACATTTATATTCTCCTGTATCCTATATATTAACTATATATAGTCAAATTTATATAGTTAATTAAATTAACTATATAATAACTATTGACATGCTATAGCGTGTTTATCTTAAATATATTTGATTGAAGATTTTGATATTTATGTTCTACGGAGTTTTTCATATATATATATATATATATATATATATATATATATATATATATATATATATATATATATATATATATATATATATATATATATATATATATATATATATATATATATATATATATATATATATATATATATATATATATATATATATATATATATATATATATATATATGAAAAACATACACACACACACACATATACACACACTAATAATTCGAATATTCTTTGAGCCCCTGTTTGTTTTTGTATAGCCTTTTTATATAACGTAAACATTTCTTTGTAAATTATTTTATTTTTTCATTGGCTGAACACCGAAATATGTATTCAATATATAAACACACACACACACACACACACACACACACGCACGCACACACTCACACACACACACACACGCACACGCACGCACATACACAGAGTAGCATAACGATAAAAATCGCCCCCTTTACCACAAAGTTTGAATCCGGGCCCCATAAGTGCTGCGATTATATCAAAGCATCTTATATCACAATATGTTACTGAGGACACAGTTAAAATGTTCAACGTTTAAAATGCGGGAATAAAGTTTTTGCGGAAAATTTCTCCGAATCCTATAAATTATTCCTTCAAATTTTGATACATACTAACCTTTTATATATATTTCTTTTTTTTTTTTGACGATAATAAATGTATCTTTACATGGTATACCTGAAGAAAAAGAAGAAAAAAAAAACTGTTTTTACTAAAGCACTTTTTTCGGATTCTAAATCTCGCGCTCTACCCATCGAAAGTTTTAAATCTGTCTAATTTACTTAGGTAAGCTCTCCTATTCCGACGGCCTCCGTTAAGTCCGCAAACATGAAAAAGATGATTTATTTAGTTCAAGACAACCTGCCCAAACCCAAACCCTTAGTAAATGTATGCACACTTACTGTGCCTATGGCTAAATAAATCAGTCGATGTATGTACACTGCGAAGCACCTTTCCATATATATCCCAATTTGCCTATTACCTAAATCCCGGTTTTCGGACGTCAAGGATGCTTAACGTCAAAATAAAGGTTTGAAAAAAGAGACTACCATTTACTTATACTGTATAAAATACTGTGTACATCTTTAATCTCCGTTTTAAAAGTTTTTCTCTGTGGAGAAAAAATAAGTTTGCTAAATGCAAAATCAATGCATTTTTTTTTAAAAGCAAGTAGTCATTGTTTAAAAGCAAGTTGTGATTGTTTTGCTAAAACAACTTAGGGGAAAAAGGGGAACCATCGGACACTTTTTGAAAAAAATGCCATAGCTTTAGTGCTGTTTTATAAAAAGTTGAAACTTTTTCTGAAAAAGATAATTTAGTTATTATTTCTTTTAAAAAAAGCAAAGCACAAGTAGTTTTAATAAGTTATATTTGCTTTTAATAACTTATAGTTGCTTTTAATAAGTTATAGTTTGCTTTTTATAAATTAAAATTGCTTTTTTTATCTTAAAAACAAAGCTACTCATTGTCCAAGACAGAAATATTATAAAAAGACATGAAATGATTTTTACAATTTCACTTTAATAAGCAGTAATTATAAACATTAGCAGAATTAAGACAATTATTACCAATAACAGAATTATTTTTATAAAGATTTCAAACCATTAAATAATTTACTTAAATATTTTATTCAAAGAAACTAAAATGAAAATATCACTAAATCATAAATGCAAAAATATGAATTAAAAAAAAAACAGAGTAAAGGTTGTGAATGTAAAATGGATTGAGATAAACGTAAATAAAAGTTTTATTTATTTAACTCAATTAAAAAAAAAAAGTTCGTAAGATTAAACCAAGTTTAAATGTTATAAGATTTTAATAACAAATTTGGAAATAGAATACTTGGTAGAAAAATTTTCCCAACAGTTTCTTTTTCAGAACTAAAACCTGTATAGACACGTGTTTTCAAAGCGTTAAAACGTTTATACGTCATTTTTGCGATATATATATATATATATATATATATATATATATATATATATATATATATATATATGAAAAAAAAATTAACTTTGTAATAGATTTGCTATTTGAAATAGCAAATCGATTACAAAGTTAACTTTTCTTTTTTTTCTTTTTGAAGTTTTCAAGTTTGAAATTAATACTTTTTTGTCTTCATTTATGACTTTTCTTTAGACCCTTATCATAATAATATTCTCAAATGCGGATTTTATAATGATGTTTAGACTCTTATCATTATGATGTCTGCGAAATACGGATATACGCTTAAACAAATATCCGCTTTACCCGTTTTATGTATGCAAAATAGCATAATAAAAAAAAAATTATAAAAATCTTTTTTTTAGCGAGTAGCAGAATGGAACGCGTACACAAAAGAAAAACTATGTCTCCAAAATATTCCTGTTCTCGACGTATATGGAATGGCTGGATCTTTTCCAAAGGGTCCTATTGATAGTGTTCATTTTCCAGATGAAGCTTTTGATAGCGCCATTATGTACTTAGAAAATTACTTAGAAAAGTTGTAACTTTATCACCATGGTGTTACAAAAAAAGTTTTTTTTTTTTAATAAATAGTCACAATATATAAATAGTTTCAAAACTTAAAGTTAACAAAAAAATAAAATGCAATTGAAAGGTTAAAATGCATTGTAAAGGTGAATTGCCAATTGTACGTTTTTCTACGGGAACGGGCAATATGAAATTATGCGATTAAAAAATGGTTTTTAAAATAGCATAAAATATAACAATCGTTAGCAATGAATTTAACGATGTTCGTTACATTTATTGCAGTCCAATTTTTTATAAAATTTATGGCATAAATCATTGCTGGTTGATAAATGTTATTTAGTTTAATGCAGAAGCATAAGATTTTTTTTTTGTTTTTGAAAAAGTAAAACAAAATAGTTTTGGCAGAACAAAAAAAACTTTAACAAAAACAAAATGTTTTTGTAAGCCATTTAAGTTGAGTAGGTTAGTGTATTTTTTGTCACAAATATTCCGTTATGCCACAAATATTCCGTTAGGTTGTCACAAATATTATTCCGTTTGGTTGTCTTTTATTATCAATGATATATTAAAAATAACTAGATGTCTAACTTCCGCGTATTTTTTGAAGCAAAAATCGGCCATTATGGGGTGCAAATTTAAAAAATAGTAAGTCACGGTTGTTTGGATCAAATAATATTCAATATTTAATATTCAAAAATTATAAATCATAGTTAATTCTTGTGCTGCAGCAGGTTGCACAAGAGCAATGAAAAATGACAACGGAACATTTCATAAACTTCCAATTAATAATAGCGAACTCTGAAAAAAGTGAATTGTTGCTATAAAACGTGAAACATTTATTCCTACTGAGCACAGCCGCATACGCAATGATCACTTTTTACCTTCAGATTACAATATACCTGATTTTAATAACAAACCTAAATTAAAACCTTTTTCTCTGCCATCTATTACTATTGATTCAAAACCAAAAGTCAAAAGAAAGTTTAGTTCTATATCGCCACAAACAAGTAAAAAGAGACTCATTTAAAAAGTTTCTGAAACAGGCAGTCGCCATCACATCGATTTCCATTCGGATATAAGTAATAACAATAATGTTGCTGCTAATATTAACACAATTTATATTAATACTGTTGTTTTAGATGCAACAGAGAGTATTGATTGCTAGGTGAATATAAATAGTAGCTTTAATATTATCAAATGTCGTAACACAATTATTAATGATGATACTAATATTTCTAAAAGTACATTATCGACAAATGCAAGTCAAACTAAAGCAAAATTAAAAGCAAAAGTTAAAATTATTAAACAAAAGTTGCGACAAAAAGAAAAAAAAAAAATCATTAAAGGTTATGCTAAAAAATCTAAGCAAAAAAAAAATTGTTTCTGAAGATGCTGTTAATGTTTTTTGTTAAAACTTTGTGGATCGACTTTTGATATTATAAAATATCAGTTTAAAAACAATACCTCAGTTCCAAAAGGGTATAGGTATACTGATGAAATTAAAAAATTTGCAACAAACTCTGCATTTTTACTCACCTAAAGCATACAATTTCCTGCTTCAAGCTCTTTAGCCAACTGGACTTCTTCTGTAGATTGTGAACCTGGTTTTTTTTTAAGATGTTTTAAGCTATATTAGTATAAAAGCAGAGATTGATATTTATTATAAAGATTGTGCATTAATTATAGATGCAATGGTAATCAAAACATCATTTCTAAACGATAAAAAGACAGTCGATTCATTGGCTTTACAGATTATGGAAAAGATATTGTTGCAATTAAACCAGATAAACCCGCTACAGAAACATTGGTATTTATGCTGGTAGGATTACGTTTTCAGTTGTTATTTTAGTGTGTACTAAAATAACAACTGAAAACCTTTCATGTCGTATTAAAAAAGCATTAACAATTTCTTCTGATAAAAAATTAATGTACGAAGATTTACATTTGATGGTGTAAGTGTTAACTTTAATTCTGTTGCATCACTAGGATGTACATTTGGTAAAAGACTAGAAAAAATTAATGAATGATTTACTTTCGAAGGCTATAATCACTACTTGTATGTAATTCCTGACCCAAGTCATATGCTATAATTAGCTAGAAATATGTTATGTGATTTAGAGGTACTTAAGGATTGCGATGAAAAATACACGAAATGGAGTTATATAAAAGTTTTATATAAAATACAAGAAGAGGAAGGATTGAAATTTGCAAATAAAATCTCAATAAAACATATTTATTTCCAGCGTCACAAAATGAATGTTAAGTTTACTTACTGCACAAATACTTAGTAGTTCAGTTGCAGATGCAATTGAATTTCTGATGTTTTCCAAACATTCAAATTTCAAGCAAACTTTTTTTAAATGATTATCCTTATTGTAATGCAATTTTTGATCAAATAATGAACTACTTGTCAAAATTGACAGTTGCTAATGGTACTAAATGATTCATATTCAAAGGTTTATAACATTTGAATATAAATCATTTAGTACCATTTCTCTGTTTATATTTAAAATTTATTGAAAAAAATAAGACTATGTTTTTAATGTAATGGTTTTCTCCTTAATTATCCTTACTTTTTCTTTCAAAAAAATGTTGTTTGCGACCAAATCTCCTTAAATATTAGGAAAATATCTCCTTAAATCTCCTTAAAATCCTTTATTTTAGCCTTAGTTTTAATAGTGGGAACCCTGATATATATATATATATATATATATATATATATATATATATATATATATATATATATATATATATATATATATATATATATATATATATATATATATACGAAAATATTATAAATAAAAATAATAAATAAAGTTTTATTAACTGTTACTTTTCTTGGTTTGTTGTTTATATTGAAAAATTTGCTTTTCAAAGGAAAGATATTATTTATATACCTAAATACCTATGTAGCTTTTTTTGTATTGAAAACCTTACTAGATTATAACATATTATTGAATTAAATTTATTCAATTGACGGTAAATCAATTATAGAAAAAGTAATAATGATTTTTATGATAGCAAGAAGTGTTTAACCACAAATAAAATTCTAACATTTCTAGAAGGAACCTCTAAGTTGTGTCACACAGAGCTTAATTAATAGTCAAGACAGTTTTATAAAATGTTTCATTACAAGTTTTAACTCTGTTTACCTTGCAGTTATGTTATAATACCTTCTAGCACTACTGCAGAGGGTAATTAATGACTAACAGGTGCACAAAATGTTAATAGATTAAAGATTAAAATCCAACTAAATCTAAGATTTTAGTTGAATGTTAAATTTTAAAATCATACAAATTTAAATTAAAAAAAAAAAATAATAATAATTATGCTTTTGAAATGTTTAAAAAAACAATGCATATTTTACATTAAATTAAATTTTAAATCAAAATCAAAATAACATTTCAGATATCTGTGTATCGATTTTTTATGATTATGATTACATTTTTAAACAATTTTAAGCTTCGTATTTGTTTTGTCTTGATAAATAGCGTAAAGACTTTGCCCCCCATAATGGCCGATTTTTGCTTCACTTTTTCTTATACTGATTTACGGCAGTTAGACATCTAGTTATTCTTAATATATCATTGTTTATTATTCTGTTGTTCAAAAAAGAAGACAAACTTAAAGCTACAAACTATCGTCCTCTTCCACTGACTTCTGTCGTACGCAAATCAAATCCAAATCAAATCAAATATATTTTTGAATCAATATTGTTCTTACATTAAGAATATTTACAAATAGTAATGAGTACTAATATGAAGTAAATTCCTGTCAAATTCAATAATAATAATAATAACAATATTAATATTAGTAATAATAGTTAAAAGTAGTGCATAATAGTAATGTAAATATTTATAAAAATAACAATAAATAATAGTAATGACAACCAAATATCATTATAGAAATTAAAATTATCAAACGTGTTTTATTAATAACAGTAATAATAAACAATACTAAAGACAACAAAAATTGATTATAGAAATTATAAATGTTTACTGTATTTTTTAATAAAAAGTAGAATAAACTGGTTTTAAAAGTTGAGAATGAATTGAGAGCTTTTAGTTTATAAGGAAGGTTGTTCCAAGTTTTAATGCTTTGATATTTCATAGATATATGTCCGTAATTATGAGGGCGGCGTTTAAAGATGATTGCGGTGTTTTTGGATGATTGAGGCGTTGTTTATAGACAAGTTTAAATTACTATTGATAACGAGTGTTAACATTTTAGGAAAAAAAAATTGATGATATTGTATGTTATTGTATTGAAGGTTCCAGACAAATTAACAGTTTAAAAGTTGAATATAATCACATAGTTTTAATACTTTAGAAGTAGAATACATTATATATAGGTAGAACACATTAGGATTAAAAATAATAATCTTGAAACAGATCATTTTTAAAGACTTATTTTGGAGGTGGGATATCCTAATAAGAACTCGTTGATGAGACCGCCCCCATACTTGGCATGCATATCTTAGATATTAAAAAAAGGGCAAATTTTGGCCAACATGACATTAGATTTTCTTAGTTAAGTCTTTACAGTTGTCAGTGGAAATTTTTCTTTTTTTCCCATTTGTGGGTACAACCTTTTTATCCCACAAGTCTTTTCAAAAGAAAAGTCTTGTGGGATAAAAAGAAAAGATTTGAATCAAACTTTATACCAAGATATATAATTGAGTTAACAGGTTCAATTTTTTTGCCACTTAATCTAAAGTTCATATATTTATAGATTTTTGTTTTATTTGATTTAAAGATAACGAGTTCAGTTTTATTAGAGTTTAGAAAAAGTTTGTTGGAGCGAAACCACTGAACTAGATGAGCAAGATCATGGTTAATGTGTTTGTTAATTTTTTTAAAGGGATTTATTAATTAGCATTAGATTAGTATCACCCTATATAAAAAAGATTAGTATCACCCTATATAAAAAAGATTAGTATCACTCTATATAAAAAAGGTATTGATGAATATAAAATTAGTATTACCCTACATAAGATTAGTATCACCCTATGCAAAAAAGGTATTAATGAATATAAAAAAAGTATTGATAAATATAAAAAGT